AACAGCTGACATGAGTGGGCTAAGAAGACTTGGCAGCCAATCTTGGTGAGGTCTAATGACCTCACTATGGCTTCCTCACTTCCTCGCCTCTCCAACTTGGGGAATCCACGCAGCAATGGGGAAATCCTTCCCAAATCAGGCTAACCTAAAAACCAAACTCACCAATGAGCCCTTCACCTTTTAAACATAGTTATCTATAGCTTTTAGCGACCTTAATTACTAAACTACTTCTCTTAAGGAAATAAAAGAAAAAAAAAGGTCTTCTGAGACTCTTTTCTTAATAAAAGTAACCTTTCCATTACTAACTATGCCAAGTAGCTAAAGACAACCAGGTGTGATTAGGTGTATCTGATGACATTGGGCTGTTGAAGACTAGATCTGATGTTGGAGTGAAAGTTGCGAAGGGATCCCAGATCAACTTTCAGAGTTTCAATGAAAATGGCAGCTAGATCCTTCTTGAATCTAATGACAAGGGTGATGATAACTAAAGTCCCCAATTTGATATTAGATCGAGAAGATAAATGATAATTCGAGGTGTTGAGAATTTCTTATATTGGTAGAAATAAGATGGAATTGGAGAATAACAATGAAAGAGGGCTAATTGATTCCTTGTACTATCAATTTGAGAGCATATGTAGGCTTGAAATAACACACTAGGACACCTTAACTATCTCTCAACCACACTATGATTAGCTCCTAACTACAACTACTCATCGCACATCTCTATCAATATGTGAATGCCTTTTTATTGATATACTTTATTCGGAAGGTAGAAGGTGCTTAATGAGATATCGAGAACAAAAGTTCCTTCTTTCATTTACATAGTTCTTGGTTGATGTTAGTGAATTGTTATAAAGATATGATTTGGATATTTTGGAGGATGCTACACTTCACTGGATTACATTTCCTATATAGGTTTGTTTCAGAATGCTAATACAATATTGCAACTGCTATTTATTGAGGAAGTGAAACTTGGATCTACATATGTATTTCTACAATTTTACATTTTTATTAGCTTGCAAAGGGCTAACAAATAGGTTATTAGGAAAGATTTATTTATTTATTTATTTTTTGTGAATGTAGTTCATAATTTCATTATTACAACTTTAATTGAAGCTGTTAACTTTAGCAATTACTGCTATTAATCTCTCTCTCTTTAATATATTTTTGGTAGTCATCTTCTGATTTAGAGCTCCCTATTTTTTGCAAACTTGTATTATAAGTTACTTTCTGTACCAATTTGTGAAAAAGGAGCTTAGTTGATTAGTTTTGTTATCTGTGTTTTCTTAACTTTTCTATGCATGGATTAATATTTTTGTGTTTCCTACCCGATTAAAGTTTGTTTGACCCTCTCTCTGGCCAATCCACAATTGATGAATACATTTACTTATATGCCTGCTGGTGCGTTGCACTCACGCACTCATTAAGACTGCTGATAGTTGGCCTTAGCAATTTGGATAACCCTTAATCACAGTTTTATTTACCATCTCCATCATTATAACACATGAATTTTGTGCGGGAGTTGACTTAGCTAGTTTTATTTCTTGTGGCGCTATTGCTCAGCTCTAAAATTGGAGTTCAATGTGAAGGATTGGAAATACAGTTTGAGAAGATGATTTAATGCAATTTTATAGATAATAAGATGTTGATTGCAAGTTCACTTTTTTTAGGCCCAATTTTACTTTTAAGAATACCAATTATTAGAGTGGTTTAGACATTTAGATGCTGCTAAATGCATTCACACAAATTTAGTTATGAACCGCAGGTAGCATTTTGATGAATTGTTGGTCATTCAAAATTGTATGTTGGAACGACAGTAGAGAATTTTTTTTTGTAGTTATATTTCATTCCTTGGTATATCTTATTATAACTTGATTGAATCAAAAGAAATCAAGGGATATGAATCACTGTTGGATTTAATTACGTTTTGCATTATATGTCTCTCATATTTTGATCCTAAGTTTATTCTTTTCTGGAAAGACATGCTTGATTATCTTAGTTTATATAGTATTTAATTATCTTATGGAAATTGATTTGATGCATTAAAGCATGATCTTTCTAACATCTAAGTTGACATTTTTGTTTAAGTTAGTCATTCTCTAAAGCCTTAAGTTATTCTTTGCTTTTTTTTTGTTCTTTTTCTTTCAAGAAAAGAGAGGGCTAAGGCTCCGTTTGCGAGCGCGATTCGGGTAGCCGGCCGCAGGATGGATCCCGCGGCACAGCTTTCTCGATCGGCTTTTTACACATTACCCTCATTGAGCCTCCCCCTCCCTCCTTCGTCTTCTTTCTCTTTGCCCACATTCTCGGTTCCTCTTCCTCCCAATAAAATTTTTGCGGGTTCTCCGTGTTCGGCTCTTCTTCCAGCTTCCTTCTGCATAGAAAGCAGAGACGGCCATCTTCTGCATTCTCTCACTTTGCTCACAATCTCGAAGCAATATTCTCTCAAGCAGATGCCCCACTTGGAATATGAGGAGGAATACACAATCACAGTGGAAAATGAACCAAGGGGAGAAGCAACAAGGGGATTTTTAATGGAAGAAGAAACAACCTGCTCGATGTGGCCTCGGCTTTGTCTCATTGCTTCTGATTTCTTCGTTTCCTTTTTGTGGGTTTGGTCTGAATCCCTGTTGAGGTGCTTAGCTTTCAGGTTTCTGGGATCGGGAAACAAGCCTCTGGTTCTTATCATAAGTGCTTTGTCGCAGTACCCTATTTCGTCTTCTTTGCCTTGGTGGGCAAGGCCATGAAGGGCGGCTTTGAATTTTGTATTCAAGCAGGCTTCAGTAAATCTTGGCGATAATCCTGCGAGCTGTTTGTTTGTTTCAGGATAATCTTGCGAGCTGTTTGTTTGTGTAATTCTCTAATTCTGCCAACTACTTGAATTTTTGGTTGTAATTTACAGGTATTGAGGATTTGGAAGGTTTTCTCAATCACTCCAATAGTCATGTTATTTTTCTACGAAACTTTTCCACCCTGATGCCACATACAAAAAGTTTCATAAAATAAGGATGCACCCTGGCAGTTTGAGAAGTGGATTCCTTTGCATTATCGTAGCTATTTTAGTTCTCTGTTGGAATAACATCATAAACATGCTTACAATCAATGACTCCAATGACATCCTTGAAACATAGGTAGAATCTCCTGTTGCTCTGAATGTGTGGGTGCGATAGAATGTTATCATGAGGCAACCATATGTACTCACCAACTAATGTAACCATATCTTTAAGACCATGTGATGGCTAATATTTTTCAAGAAATGCTGAAAAAGCCATTGAAATAACCAATTGTTAAAAAACGATATTTCTTGTGTATGACAGAAGATTGTGATCTACTAACATCTCCTAGTTGAATGAAAGTTATAAGAGGCTGGCATAAACAATTATATAACATTGTTAAATGGCTTGCAAATGTCTATGTAAGGGCAAGTATACATTATATGAGAAGGTGAAGAGGATCCAATGGAGTCTACTTATTGAGGAATGCTTCATCTCCTTGTAGTGTTCTATAATGTCACACAAAATAGAATAGAATGTGTTCCTGTCGATAGTAGTCATATTTGTTCATCAACATATGCAATCAATATAACCACATATATAGAAGTGCATCATTTAACTTTTAGAAGAAGAAGTGGCTAGGAAAACCTTGGAGTGTTCAATATTTCAATAAGTGTTTATGTATAAAACTGCACATAAAAAAGGAAATAAACAATCACAATAAAAATCTCTTTCAGCTATCTATGGTTTGATTATTTTTAGATTGTTGATTGATGCTAAGGGTGAAATCCATGGGCACCTCTTTTCTTTTTCTATATATGAATCAGTCGGAAAGGTATTTCTAATAAGCAAAGAATCTGTGGTATTTCAATAAGTATTTATGTACAAAACTGCACATAAAAAGGAAATAAACAATCACAATATAAATCTTTTTCTGCTATCTATGGTTTGACTATTTTTAGATTGTTGATTGATGCTAAGGGTGCAATCCATGGGCACCTCTTTTATTTTTCTATATATGAATCAGTCGGAAAGATATTTCTAATAAGCAAAGAATCTGTGGCATCTAATTTTTCTTAACTAGCTTTTTTCCTGTGATCATTCAATATTCTAACTCAAAATGGATAGTTAATATTTAGCATTTCAAGTTTGCTTATGAGTATATCAAATTCTTATAGATATTATAATTTTCTTATTTTACTTGTAATTTTATTAATTTAATTTCTTTTAATTTAGCACATTCGGGGTTCACTGTTAAGTGACGGTATATGAACTTTCTGTTCTGTTTAGAAATGAATTTCTGCTTCAGAAGTTTAAAAAATGTAGTTGTTACAACATTCTTTAAACAGTTTTACCAATCAGGGGCACCGTGATCATTTTTTCAGAAATAGCTGCCCTACAGCTGCTTTCACACAGCTGCATCAAACAGACAGTCAGCTTCCCCACAACTGCTTCTTGGGGCAGTGCAGCTGTAGTTGAAAAACTGAGAAGCTGCAGCTGCGCCAAACAGAGCCTAAGTCTTGTTCTATTATTTGAATAAAGTTGTCAGTTGTGCTGTATTTCAAATTAGGTGTCTTAGTGGCTGCTTCATCTCTGTAAAATGATTGCTGAACTCTTATGAAAAATAGGAATGTTTCGTCATAAATAGAAGTGGGAGAGATCTTGGGAATAGTTGACATATTCTCTGTTCTGTAGAATGTCTTATCTGTTTTGTACATGAGTTTTCATAAGAACTTATCAAGAGAAATGACATTTTCAGGTTATACATTAATTATCACTTTTTAAATGAGTATTAAGGAGCTATTTTCAATAAATTGCTTTCAGATGTTTACCCTTCGCAGCACTGCTCTGCTTTTAAAAAATCTATCATATTACATTGTTTATTTATTTCATACACATGATACACCCACCATTTCCAATCAAAGCCTAAAATTTAGTATTGTATAGTTATAATTTCTTTCTTTTTCACTTAATCCTTTGTTTATTTAATCAGACTTCATATGCTTGCAGAGTACCCACGTGGCTGCTCAATATGGTCAGACAGCATTTCTCTACCACGTAGTTACAAAATGGAATGCTGATCCTGATGTGCCTGACAATGATGGAAGAAGCCCTCTGCATTGGTATCAGCTATTGTTTTTTAAAGATCACTGCAAAGTTTATATTTACAAACATGTCTCTCTTTCTGTTTATTTATTATTTTGACTCCACAATTAAATAGCTTTGGAACATACTTGCTACTATAGTTTTATGCTCCACTTTCTTTGTCAATGGTCTTTCTTTGTTCTGATGAAAATTGAGGTTATCACTTATCATTATTAGACTTGTGAAATGTTATCAACTGGTGTCAGCATTGTTATGACAATCATAGGATCATTAGTAATGTGATTCACTTAGTAATATACATTTTACAGCTCCGCTTATATTCTCCTAACATTTTTTTTTGTAGGGCTGCCTATAAGGGGTTTGCTGATAGTATTCGCCTTCTTCTATTTTTGGATGCATACAGAGGGAGGCCGGACAAGGAAGGTATGCACAGTCCTTTATTGCCAATCATCAGCAAACAACAAAAAATATTGTAAAAGAAAAAGTGCCGCTTGGTGGGGGTGGGGGGAACCTGTGTAGAGTAATGTTTCCTTGATGCCAGCATTTGTGAAATTTATGGATGTATGATTGTGTTTGAAAATTTGGATTTATTATTAATCTACTTAATTTTAATTTACAATCTTTTCTCATCATAAGGTTGCACTCCTCTTCATTGGGCTGCTATCAGAGGGAATTTGGAAGCTGCAACGGTGCTAGTTCAGGCTGGGAAAAAGGAGGACCTCATGGTGACGGATAATACTGGTTCTACTCCTGCGCAGCTAGCTGCTGATAAGAATCATCGGCAAGTTGCCTTTTTCCTTGTAGGTTTTCTCCTTGTTGTGCAGTAGATAGTTTTTATTTTCTTAACTGATATGGTTGAATCTTTGATTTTAATTTTATTCTTGCACCCATTTTTCTTTATTTTTCTCAAGCAGAGAACTCCAAAATTGCATATAACTGTAGCGCTAGCTGCTGTATTCTTTCCTCCTGATTCTGGCTTTTCCGGAACAAAGGACCTGGTTTACTTTTGGATCGTAAATAAAGAGTGCTATGTATGCTTTCTAAAAAGGAAATATCAAATTTCTTTGATTTGGCTGTCATAGATTTGCTTTAAATAGTTAGAACATGTATGTGTGTATGGCTAAGTGTTGTTATCAGCATTAAGCTAGTATTCTTGTTAATGGACGCCTAGTGTTACCTTTTTTAAGTTGTGGGATAGGGTCTTTGGGATTTTGGCCTGGAGCAATAATTTTTATATGTTTTGAATAAGGAAAGAATGATTTGTTAAGGTTTGTTTGTTCTGCATGAAAGATGAATGCAGTGTAAATAGAATATTGGGGTTGTTTGGTTTACTGAATAAGTCCAGTGCTCGCACTGCGCAAGAAAATCTTCGAAGTAAGACACTTTAAAGGTAATGTGCTCTTTTTGGAATACTTTGAAGCTGTTTCTTCTTTTTCACATTTTTTCATTTGGTTTAAAGAAAAATGAAATCAAGGAGGGGGTTGGGCAATGGTCGGCGGTTAGCGGCAGCTTGTTGGTGGTGATAGAGGGCTGCTGCTGGCGGTGGCCGGGGGGGGGGGGGTGGGGGGGGGCTGGTGGGGGGGGGGGGGGGGGGGGGGTGTTGTAGTGTAAGATAATTTCAGCGATGGCAGCAGTGGTTGATTGATGGCTTACATGCATTGATGGCAAAGGTTGACGAAGACGTGCAACACTTTATGTTAAGTGCTGTATTTTGAATTCGTTGGATCCAACAAATTTTAAATACATTGATAATGAACTAAATAATGAATTCCAAATGCTTTATAATTTTGCAATGCATTTGAAATTCATTCTACCAAATACCCAAATTTTGAAATTTCTACAAAAGGAATATAGTGCACTCCTTTTGCATCAAACCAAGTAGCCTTTTAGTGTGCAATTGTTTGTGGGCAACAGGAAGTGGGCGCAAGCAATGTTTGGCTGGCGGGTGCGGGGGGGGGCCGGGGGACCTCCCCCCCAGCCAGTGGCTGGTGGCCAATTAGCAGGGGCAGGAGATTCCAATAAAGCTCCACTTTTATTGTTTATTTGAGTATTACTTAAAAACGGATGAAATCCAATTGTTTTAAAGTTATACTCTCTTGCCTTTTTTTTTAATCAAACACCCAGTTTTAAACAAATGCATGAGTTCCATCTACTTTACACCTTTTTTTCACCAAATGAAACATATCCTAATGTAATAGTTATGTATATACCTTTTAATCTTTGAAAGGCAAATGTTAAAAAGTTGTAATCCTATTATGTTCTTGGGGCTTTGCTATTTTGGTTTTAATCAAAAGTGAAATGAAATTTAGTCATTTTCATTAGTCTAACTCAGGCCTACTTTAGTATTCTTTTTTAAGGAAAGTTTTATCATCAATCAATGAAAAGAGTACACGTCGAAGCAAATGTAAAACTTTACTTAATGAGAATAAGAACTATAAAAAAAATATGCTGAAAAGGTCATCATGTGGTGACTGAACTAGCAAAGGAAAGAAATGAGCCCTTAGAGATCATCACATTAAAAATGCCTTACTTGAAGCTTGATATATTTTGGAGAGTGATGGACTTACTCTCTTGCTTTCTTTTCCTGTCTTGGCTTGCTTGTATAAGTTGAAACATTGTATCTTTAAGCTTGTCTGTGATAGAATTGCTAACATCTGAAACAACCAAAAGAGAGTTAGGGCATTGTTAGGATTAGGATGAAAAGCGCTTGGCGGGTCTAGAACATTAATCATGGCAGTATAGGTGCAGGTTAATCAAAATTCATGGTTAGCAATATATGGTGGCATTGATTATGAGGGAGTATTCAAAGATGATTCACACTTTTTAGCATAGTTTAGAAGTACTCGGGATAACCATTAATACATTAAAGGAAAAGTTTTTATCAAATGAAAGATTCTCACTGCTATAATGTTTCATTTGCTGTCGGTTTGCCCTGAGGCATTCCGAAAAATTGTGATAAAATATATTACAAGCGGAACTGAAAAAAGGAATGTTTTAATTTCACATTTTTGCTTGTCTCAAAAAGATGTGGAGTAAATTCAAATTTCTTTCTCAAGCTGAGAAGTTACATCCAATTCAACTAGTTTTTCAGCTACTAATGATCTAGATAGACTAACTATTCTGCATCCACCTGAAACAATTTATGAAGATTTGAGGCAAGAGAATATAAAATGGATTTATTGAAGTAGTAAATTTGAAGTATGTGGGAAATTTATCCAAACCAGAGTTATAGTCTGTTCTACTGATCAGTCAAAATGAGCTGAACATTTAATATACACATTGAGAACCCATTCTTATAATATGTTCACTGAGGGAAGTCTTTGTAATTTGAGTATTGAGATAGTTAAAATATGATGAAAATTAAATAAGTTCAACAAACTTCAAAATTAATATTCCACAACTAAATCAAACGTAGATCAGCCAAGAATCTACAAAATATTCTATCCTCGGATGACCCCAAAAAGGAAAGCATTAAAGATGTAACCGAGTTAAATATCTCATAAGTGAATATGGGGGTGGTCTACTTTGTAAGGAGCAAGACAACTTAAGATGGGTCGCTCCAGGCCCTTGCTAAAATATGGGCAAATGAGAAGAGGAGTTGGAAGAGAAGTAGGACACTTATTACTCTTAAAAGCCTTATAAAAAAAGGGGGGTTTGCATGAAAAGGGATAGCCCATAGTCGGAGAGCTTGAAGAACACGAGTATTCATAGGACAACTCTCACAATCTGGTCATACCTACCTTACTAGAAGTAGGTGATCTAGTCGTAGTGGATAGTGATGAGAAATTTGAGTTGAGTGAGAGTGAGATGGCATGATATCAAAGATGAGTTGTGGAGGAAATATTGTTGCGATATAAACCATACTGACACCATAAGAGCATCGAGATCGGAGATGGCATCATGCTCAGGGGCATGCCAAGCTAGAATTAAAGCACCTTGTAGATCAATAGAGAACTTTAATTGTAGTTGGGTTTCATAGTAGCAAAAAATAGTGAGGACGTGCAAATTGGCCATTCCAAGTGTGCAAACTATGAGTGTAGGGCTTTGAAAACATGTGTGTGGCAACTTTAGGCTATGCATGAGGGCCCATATGAGGGCCCATGCAAGAGGCTATGCATGAGGGCCCATGCAAGAGCAGTGCGTATGGTGATTGTTGGTGGGATGAATGTAACAAACATGCATAAGCATTGCCTGATCACTGATCTTAGGGAGATGAGCAGTTTGGGTTTTGTTTGAGAAGTTGTTAATATTATTTGTACTTTAACTATTAGTTAAAATATATAACTAATAATTAATTTATTGTATGATATGATTTTATTAATTATAATCTAGCTTATTTACATGAAGGCATAAGTATCTACAATTTTCAATCACCCATAATTATTAAATTGGTTGTAGGGCATTTTACCTATTGCTTGTTAAACCATGATACTTGATCATATCATATTTGCAAAGAGGGGGGAAGCACATGTAAGGCATTAATTGTTGTGTCCTGCATTAATTTGATTTGGTTTAATGCTGCTTTTTTGACTTAGTATTGGCGAAATTGGATACTTTGTATCTCCAGTGATGGAGGCGTCCCACCCACGATGCGGGAAACTGCATGAGCTGTGTCCCGAGATCCCTTTGTCTGGATCAAAACTGATCCAGACTTGGAAGGGCTGACTGTTTCTTTCATGTTGACTTGGTGCCTCCTTGCCATATGGGGATCCAATCCTAGGTAACTAGAACTTATTTATGTGATTCATGTGTTTTAGGTTTTCAGCTTTTCGTGATTTTATTTCAGGACAACCATTGACATTCTCCGTGTTCCCGTTTAGGGCTATATGTAAGAATGAATGTTGCTCTGAGATGGTGACTATTCTTGGCCCTTCCATCCTCCGCAACCTTTCTGTTGCTGCTGCTGTCGTTGTAGCTGCGGCAACCGCACTCACCCACACAACTACAAACCCACCCCCAAACAACACCTTTGCTGTCTCATGCAGCCTTGCACCTCCTTGTCGCCTCTGTCCTCGCCTCCATCACTGTTCTAGCTTCCCTCTTTGCTTCCACTCCGGCTCTAGCGCTCTCGATTGCTGCCATCATTGTTCCAGCCACCAGAAATCCTCTCCACTTCCTAACAACTGCTGTTCCAACAATCCTGGACCATTTCTTTGCCACCCAACTGCTGTACCAGCCCTCGTCCACCGCTTCCCTGCCACATATCTACTGTTACAGCCTTCGAGAACCCCAATTATACCTTGCTGCCATCTAGGACAGGAAGAACCTGCCGTTCCGTTGTCATATCCACCCATTTCTTCCGTGCTCCCACTTTACCACCAACATCTGGACCTCCAACAGGTAGCACCATCACCTGCTATCCACTCTAGTTTGAGTTGGTGTTGTCATTTATTGCACTTTCAAATTTTCGCGTGTCATGCTGTTGTAATTTCCCCTTTCAATTGTGAGGTTGTAGCTTCTCTATTTGTATTTCAACTATAGTATTTGCTATCTATTGTTATTTGGGTTAAGTATGGTATCATTTGGTATCAATGCTAACTTAACCCTAGTCCTATCATAGGGTCATATCATCCACCCTACCCAACCCTACCTCCATCAAAAAATATTCTTTCCCACCCTTCATCACCCCTACACACTCCTTTCCACCTACTCACCCCAAACCCTAATCATGCCTATGCGAAGGCAATTGTCGGAACTTGATCACCAGTTGACCATGGAAGAGTTACAGAGATAGTTCTGTCGAGTGCTACATTGGCTCAATGTCATCGAGGAAAGAACATGTCATAATACTTTGGGATATAGTATCGGAGGAGGCCTAGAGATGACATGCTATTAGAGTACACATAAATGAAGTGCCTGTTAGAGGATACATAAATAAAGTTTCTGTTAGAGGATATATATATGAAGTGTTTGTTTGGAGGATACATAGATGAAGTGTCTGCCAGAGGATACAGAGGCTCAGGAGCGAAGGCGGACATACCTAATTTCAAGGGAGAATGGATCTAGATGACTCGCTGAGTGACTGCAGACTATCGAGAGAATTTTTGAATACAAGCAAATGTTAGATGACCGGAAAGTAAAATTGGATGCTATAAAACTGAAGAACACCTTATTGTGGCAGGAGAACTTGAAAAGAGAGAGAAATAGAGAAGAACAAAACAAGATTAGTAATTGAGAGAAGATAAAGAGAGAATTGCAGTAACTTCTTCTTTAGCTTAGTACAAACCGAATATTTACACCCCAACATCAAAAGTGGAGTGACCACATCAATGGGCGGCCGCCAAATCTTATATGTTGGGTTCAACCTCAGGATCCTATAGCCAAAGTACACCCCGAGAACATCCAAACCGACCCCACCTGAGGAGAAACTAATTCAAAGTAGAGAATTGGTGGAGCGAACCAGTATTCCTAAATCCGCCCCAGCCAGAAAGTGTGCCTTATGCCATGGGTTTGGGTACAGTGCACCAGATTGCGCAAACAAGGGTACAATTTATTTCCCTGAGCAGAGAGCAGTTGGAGAGATGGACAATGATACAATAGAAACTGAAGAAAATAAGGACACATATGATGAGTACCAACTGCCAACCAATGAGGAAGAGACGCCATCGATTTATCTCTACCACAGGAGAGATTCCAACAAAGTTAATAGTTCTGTTTAGAAGGTAGCAAGTCTAGGGTAATAGGCGTTTATATAAAGTATGAGATTATGGTCCTCAAACTTCTATTTTGCTGGCGTTGAGAAGAGCATCAACAAAGTTGAAATTGGATGTCTAAATGAACTGTGAGTTTGACAAGCCAATATTAGACACAGAGTAATTTTAGATAAGGAAATTTCACAATCTTTTTTTGATATATAACTTACCTCCTGAGTTGCCCATAATGAAAGAGGTTCAACGTGTCAGAGATGAGACCCTTTTTGCCACTTTTTAAAGATTATAGGGAGTCATTGGTGTATTAAATTCAATTCAACAGTGTATCTATCAACAAATAGTCATACGTGAAGGATGAGCTATCACTTTGAAAATTGCTTTAGGATTTTGGGCAGAAATAACATCCTACAATGAGATCTATTTATTTTCAGATAAGAAGAAGAGACCCCTCCTGAGTGATTATAAATCAGTATGGTCCAGTCTGCTATAGATTTCATTCTAGAGTTGATTCCTTCTGACAGATTTTTTTATCAGATATATTCAGTCATGTAGAAGAAGTGGGAGAAGCAATTTATAAATGTGACTGCTCGGGGCTTGATTCTTGAGAATAGTCATCTATAGTGCTGACTCAGGTTGTGCCAAAAGATGACAGATATCTATTATATCAAGATGTGCTTTGAAATGATGCTTATAAGATTGACTTACTGGGAATGCACAATATTCTTAACAATTTCAATGTTGTCGACTTCACACTATACAATGAGTCTTCAAGGAGTCAGAAACTTCGGCAGATGAGGTTGAAGCTCCCTCAATTTTGGGGAGATTGACACGGGCGTCCCACAAACGTTGCAGAAACACCCGGGAGCCACGTCCCGTGCTTCTTTCGTCTGAACCAAACTGGCACAGACCTGGGAGTGCCGACCGAGTCTTCCCTATTGATTTGACGCCTCTTTTCCATAGGGGAATCTAATCATAGTCATCTAGGGCTCGTTTATGTTCATGTGTTTCTAGTTTTTAGTTTTTCATGATTTTTCTGTCAGGACGTTCCCTTCTAGAGCTATAGCTGAGGATGCTTAGTGCTCCAACTTTATCTTGCTCTGAGGTGGTGACTATCCTTAACTTTCGCATTCTCCTTAACCACCTCATCACCACTGGCATTGTTGTACTGCTGTAGCCACCCCACACTCGACAACCCTTTGCTGTCACCTGCAGCCCCGCGCCTCCGTGTCGCCTTCATCCTCGCTGCCATCATTGTTCCAGCCTCCCTCTTTGCTGCCCCTGCAATTCCAGTGCTCCCATTTGCTGCCATCACTGTTCCAGCCACCAAAAATCCTCTCCCCTTCCCATCAACTACAGTTCCAGCCATCCCGGACCACTGTACCTGCTACCAAACCACCATTCCAGCCCTATTGCACCACCTCCCTGCCACAAATCCATTGTTCCAGCCTTTTTGAACCCTAATTCCACCTTGCTGCTGCCCAGGATTACCACCACCATTCTATACCCCTCAACAGCCCCCACCGTCACCTGCGATCTTCCCTAGTTTGAGTTGGTATTGATATTTGTTGCAATTTCAGATTTTCATGTCATGTTATAATTCCCCTTTCAGTTGTGTGGTTGTAACTTCTCTATTTGAATTTCAGCAATAATATTTCTTATCCATTGTTGTTTTGGTTAACTCCTGTATCACCCAAACCATGGAAAAAAAAAATCATATTTTAGGATGGGTTATACCGGTTGGCTTCTACTTTATTTTGAAGATGAAAACATCATGATATATTGTTGAAATAATATTCAATTTGCGGCCAACCTCTTTCTATCACTAATAATTCAACAATCTATGAGCATCTTTTCATCTATAGCAATCTAATAATATGTGGATGATCGCGTTTCATCTACAACAATTCAATATCCAGGGACACCAGTATTCTATTTCTTTTGCATAGTTAATTTTTTATTCTAAAGTTAAAGAATGGTTTTCAGATTTATTTATTTATTTCTTTTATCTTGCTAGTTTTCTTTCTACCTATGTATGTATAGTTTCAGCTTGTATGCATAGAACAAGAGAATAAAATTCACTCATAAAATCTCCCATTTTACTTCCCCCTCTTCTCATTCAAATTTTCAAGATACACTAAGTATGAATATTTCTTTAGTTATCTTTCAGTCACTTGTAATTGTTCTACTAACTCAATAATGTTGAAGTACTAGTTCTAATCTTTATTTGGGATCATGGACTCGCTTTATTGAAAGAAATAGCTTCGAAGCAATTATTTTTTGAATCTCAATCAAAGACGATTGATGCAAAATTTTCTGTTGTATTATCATACACTTTCTTGTTCTCCTACTATATGTAGGAAATAATTAGGCTTTGCACATAACCAGCGTAGAAATGATAACACATATATGCAGGGAAATGCTAGAAGATTGTTTGATAGACGATGTGATGGGAATACCTATTTTGGAAGATTATCAAAACTAGGACTTGCTCCTTTCCTTTGGTGCATTATTATCTCTCTGCTTGCTACATATACAAATTCGGTAGTAACAGGTATATATTCCTTTTTATTCTTTTGTTTATGGTCAAATAAGTTTCTTAATTATTTTTTCTTCCCAATCTGCATGCTATGCGTAGGATCAAGTTTTTCAAGGTTGACACCGGCATTTGGGCTTTTTGCATGGCTGGGAGTTTTACTTGGTTGTTCAGGTTTATTTATGTTCTATAAGTGTAGCAGGTGCGATATCTTATCTTATTTGATGCCTTGAATTATTTGTTTCTAGCACCTTTTTCTTCATTCCCTTATCATGCAGGGGCATGGATTTTCCCCTGAACTTTTTTTTTCTTTGCCTTCTTCGGATTGCTTTAGCTTTTTGTAATTTTATTCTTACTTCAAATAAAATATGCTCTGGTGGCTTTATTAAAATTATTTCAGTTATTAAATATTTAAATTCAACTACCCATTTTTGATAAAGGCTTGTGTTATTGCTGCTGGTGGTGGTGTCCTTTTCTTTTACCGCCATTTCTGAGAGGGGCAAGCAACCATTCTTTGACAGATCTTTTAGCATCTACTAAAGAAATTGTTAACTAGATTTGAATTTGTTGTTCACAATATCATTTTGGCTAGATCAGTTTTTTTGAGTTCTTGCCCAACTATATGCTGGTTTTCATTTATGATATTTTCTTTTCTTAAATGCACATAATCAGTAGAGCGAAAGACTTGCACCTGTAGTGTTTTCCGCCGCACCGAGCCTGCCAATTAATTTGAACAATTATTTTATGCTCAAGGTTAAAAGGGCAATTTAGTCATTTGATAGTTATTATTGTTGGGTATAAATCGAGCTTATTTGTTTAGGGTTAGGGTTATGATGAGATTGTGTAGGTTTTAGGGTTAGGGTTTTTGGAGGGATCACCTACATCTCGAATTTTAGGTGTTTATTTTTGATGCATTTGAGTTGTGTTATTTTGTGTTGAAGTAAAGAATTTTATTTGCACTAATTTTGCTTTGAAATTTCATCTCCGTTCGTATCAAATTCGTATCAGAACAATCGATCACTTGGAAACAAGCGACGAGATCGTGAGTTCGTGATACAGTCGCGTCAGCCAAAGACGGGATCACGATACAGTTGTGCTAAAAGCGAGCAAGGAAGCCATGCTAAAAGAGAACAAGGAAGCCATCAACGAGAACACAACTTGGGAAGCTGATGGGATCGCAACCATTATACAAAATTTTCTCGAATCGAGCTAGTTGTGAAGTTGACGGGATTGCGACGTACAAGCGATGCCTTCATGACCTAACCTTGCGAAAGAGTCGATTCGATTGAGTTGTGAAGCCAAAGGGATTGCAACTTACAAGCGCCGCTGTTGTGCCTAGCCTGGCGAAACAGTCGCGATCCGAGATAGCTGAGAGGCCAATGAAGGCACTACAATGTACAAGGCAGGTAAATCCATCAGATTGTCTCGATCTGTAGTACGTGCCGTCTTTGTGACAATGTTATAAAATGGGTGGGCGGTAGGCGCGACATTTTAGCTATTATGGGTTGAGACATAAGCTCCAAAGCATTTCAATAGAAAAAAAATAAGAAATATAAATATTAAGAGAAAAAAAATAAACTACTTGTGCTTAATAAAATAATTAGTTAGAGACATTAAAAGAATTTTTTAAAACAAATCTTCTGGGATTAGAATCTTCAAGATATTAGCATAAATCCGTCATATACATTAGAAATATATAAAAATATTTAAACATGTCCGAGTCAAAAAATAAATTTGTGCTCAATTGATCTCAAATCTTGACTGTTATTCATTCTTGAAATTTATCATCATAATTTCTTCTCACCAATAGTTGTGTCCAAATTACAACTAAGTCCTTCATATTGTTTGCTTTCATTGTCCACCTCATAATCTGTTTACCCTTATTATTGTAGTCTAAATTATGAAAATAAATAAAATGACATTCATAAATATTTAGGATCTTTTTTTTATAAGAATGCATAATTTGTAAATTTTTAGGATTTTCCATTATAAGTTAATAACTAACCTTACACATTAAAATAAAAAACAAATCAGATCAAATCCACCTCCAATTAACATGAAATTTTGTATTATAAGTTAATGGATTATGTGATCTGTAGCAAACATGAAAAAAAAATCAAATTTGCGGTTTACTGTAGTTGCAGTGAAATAATCCACTAATAACATGCAAAACAATAAAAATCACATATCTATTTGCTAACCAAATGAATCGCACTATGTGAGAGAAGTTGTTGGTGCGGGAGAGAAGCAGATGCCGTGAGATTTTCTACCTGCTAGAGATGAAGCTACGGGATCGCTTTCGTGCGGGATGAAGCAGACGGAGGGGTTGCCTGCGTGCGAGAGCAAAGTAGACAACATGATTTCCTGTACAGGATGACTTACTTGCAAGGGACGAAGCATACATCGACGTATATGACTGCTGGATCGTCTACGACTTTGTGTGCACAGATGGAGGAAGTAGAATGTTGTGGGAGATCTTCTGCGTGCTGGAGACTTTTGTATTTGCGTGAATCTGGTAGGTCTGCAAAATTAGGGATTTTGTTTCCTTTTTATTTGATTAATAAGTGGGTGATACGTCCCGTGAGGCGCAACTTGCGCTCCGGGCGTAAAAAACGTTCCGAGGCGCAAGCCATATAAGATTTTTGCCCTCTTATGGCTTTGGGCGAAATGAATTGAGCCTCGCCTGGGGCGTGCCCTAGGAATGCATTTTTAAATAGAATTTGTGACTGAACCTCAAGATATAATCGCGATTCGAGTTAGCTAAGAAGCCAACTACAAGATCACAATAAAAAAATAGATGCTCAGGAGGAGAAATTAGATAAATAAGTAACTTAAATCATATATATGGAAGGAAGGAGCATTTTTCGTCTATGGAGGGGAGGCTCTCGTCCTTGCTGGAGGGGAGATTTACTACTCTGGAAGAAATGATGAAGTAGATCATTGAGTTTCACGCTAACTTGTCATCGTTTGCCTTAGGGTTGAGCGACAACGTTGGGAGGAGCCGCTAGCGGCAACAATCTGAAAGATGTGTGCGACATTAGGTCACTGTCGCTCTCTTGGGCAGATCTGGAGTCGTGGAATTGAGCAAAGGAATTGGGAGCTGACTCGAGCTACATCACTTTCAAGAAATAGTGTGACATCTGCATGACTGGAACAAGCGGAAGCACACAGAATCAAGTTAAGGACTTAGGAGTACATTAGAGCTACAACATTTGAATGGAATTACACGACATTTGGAGGTTTGGAACGAGCAAACGAAAGCAAAATGTGATTACGTGCGCTTTGGGTTGATAGAAGATTGATTCAAAGGATTTTAGCAAGGAACATGGTGCCACATTGGGTGGGACCCTGGCGGAGGGTTCTAACTAACCGCGCCTTTGTCTTTTGCTGCAGTAGCCTTTTAGGCGGAAGGAGATCCAGGAGCTTACGAGGACGGGCCAACTTATCATGGGATGAGCCAGACTTATGGAAGAAGGGAAGAGACACCTGATACAGATTTGGTTGAGATTCCCACCGATCCAACCACTTTTTTATAACGGGGTTAAACCCAAATCAAAATAGGAAATGCAAATATCATTACTCAAAAATAAATAGAGGTTACACATGGAAACATGGAACTAGCAAGTAACAAAGACACAACACGACACAGCTAGGGCTGAGGGTGAAGACGGAAGTGCGGCTGTTTAAGGGTAAATAGTAACTAAAGCAGGTTGGAGGTGGCTAGAATGGGGCGACAACGGGTTGGAGGTGGCTGGAGAGGGGCTACAACAAGTAGGGAGGTGTCGACAACATGCATGTAGCTAGAAGAGACGTCAGCGGGGTAGTGGTGGCTGGAAAGGAGTGGCAACAAGTAGTTAGATGGCTAGAGGGGCTGACAACAAGTTGGAGATGATTGGAAGGGCTGGCAACGAGGTGGATTTGGCTGGGAGGGATGGCTAGTTGCAGGGAAACAACAAGGAGGTTGTTTTCGAGTGAAGACAATGGCCATGACGACAGTACAACGGAGGAGAGGCTGTGGGAAGCGGACAACGATAGTTAAACATCACCTCAGGATGAGTTATATCTGGAGCACTTTTTCGCATTCAAATACAACCCTAGGAGGGAATACTGGATGTTGGAAGTTGTCCTGACAAAAGATTGAAAGAAAAATTGCCCTAAAACATAATAAATAACATATATATAAGCTCGACAATCTTTCAATTTTATGCTGCTTCTCATTTTTTGCACTTGATTCTATAATACAATGAGTCACACTATTACTAATTCTATTGGAATTGAACTTAGGTTTCTTGTTAAGAGTTTGTGTGAAGTGTAAGGCATATTTTTTTTTCGATAATAATATTTTTTTTCTCATTGTGTTTTGTGTTAACTCCGATATTATTCGACATCAGAATTAGCCTAACTCTAGTCATATTTTAAGGTTTCTAGCATTCACCACACTCAAACTTTTCTTCACCTAAAATTTTCCTTTCTTACTTTACATCCCACTTAAACACCTCTCTCTACCTACCTACACCCAAATCCTAGCCATGCCACCAAGGAGATAATCGCCGGAACCCTGATTGAGGGGAAATCATATGATTCCGTTCAAAAATTCACAAAGAGATGTCTAGAGGATCTCTATGGAGACCCGTCAACTATAATAAAGACTTGCCACCAGTAGGAGGCAATCTGAGTGGGTCACCTGTAGCCATAATAGTGACTTAGTAAATCAAAGAAATTGAGCGAATCTCTTTCACCATGTAAATTCCTCGGATGAAGGACCTTTACCTCGAAGATATGACTTGAAATATCTAAGAAGTCAGAAGTTTGAATTAAAGGTGAATTTGCCATGTTTCGACAGTCACATGGATTTGGATGAGGTCATTGAGTGTCTCTGGACCATGGAATGTGTTTTTGAGTGCTAGGACGTCGCACTAGACAGAATGATGAAACTAGACTCCAACAAGTTAAAAGAAGAGTGTTTCTCAGTGGTGGGCAAACTTAATGGTTCTTCGATAGAAAGAAGAGAAGAGTGAAATTACTACCTGATTCAAGATGAAATGAGAGATGCAACGCCAATTTTTATCAGCTCACTACAGACTAGATGCTCAGACCCTAGCTATAGAATTGGAGAAACAACATTGACGGTCGACCACTAGATCTTGCACGCAAGGTTCAACCCCAGAATCTCATAACCAGATTACACCCAGTGGAACATCC